CCCGAGCTCCGTTTTCGGCTGCGACGGACTCCTGCCGCCCCCTGCCAACGAAAACAAGCTCCCGAGCTCCGTTTTCGGCTGCGACGGACTCCTGCCGCCTCCTGCCAGCGAAAACAAGCTCCCGAGCTCCGTTTTCGGCTGCGACGGACTCCTGCCGCCCCCTGCCAGCGAAAACAAGCTCCCGAGCTCCGTTTTCGGCTGCGACGGACTCCTGCCGCCCTCTGCCAGCGAAAACAGAGCTCCGTTTGTACTGGCAGAGGGCGGCAGAAGGCCTTCGCAGCTGAAAATGAAGCCTGGGCCAAGCTTCATCCTTTGCTGTTTCTAGGGAAGGCCCCACAGGCCAGACCTAAGCACTCCGCACTAGTATATAAAATAAGAGCAAACCCTACACCCTTAGAGCACTGATGATGTTCCCTAGTTTGGTAACGGGAGCACAGATCAGCAGGGATGTGGGAAAAAGTAGGAAAGGAAGTAAATCAGTAATTGCTTTTGACTTGGTTTTGGAAAGGTATAAGGGCCAAAATGAAGAAACGCCAGAGAAAGACATGGAGAAGATAAACAGCGGCCTTCTGAAGAAGCTCAACGAACTGGAATCAGACCTGTTATTTTCTTTAGGTAATTGGCTATCTATGAAACGTGTGTATTCGTGTGTCAGAAAGAGATGCTTCTAGTTCTGCATTTGATCTAGAAACCAGGCTAGAAACTGAATGACCCTGTATTCTGGTCCACGTTAGGCATGAAACTTGGCTGGGTAACTTTCAGCCAATCACCAGGAGACTGGGAGTTCTAGTCCTGACTTAGGCATGAAAGCCGGCTGGGTGACTTTGGGCCTATCACCAGGAGACTGAGAGTTCTAGTTCCACTTTAGGCATGAAAGCCGGCTGGGTGACCTTGGAGCTATCACCAGGAGACTGGGAGTTCTAGTCCTGACTTAGGCATGAAAGCTGGCTGGATGAGTTTCAGCCAATCACCAGGAGACTGGGAGTTCTACTCCCACTTTAGGTGTGAAAGCCGCCTGGGTGCCCTTGGACCTATCACCAGGAGCCTGGGAGTTCTTGTACTACTTTAGACATGAAAGCCAGCCAGGTGCTTTGGGGCCCATCACCAGGAGGCTGAGAGTTCTAGTCTCACTTTACATATGACAGCTGGCTGGGTGGCCTTGGAGCTATCACCAGGAGCCTGGGAGTTCTAGTGCCACCTTAGCCATGAAAGCCGCCTGGGTGGCCTTGGACCTATCACCAGGAGCCTGGGAGTTCTAGACCACTTTAGATATGACAGCTGGCTGGGTGACCTTGGAGCTATCACCAGGAGCCTGGGAGTTCTAGTCCCACCTTAGCCATGAAAGCCTTCTGGGTGGCCTTGGACCTATCACCAGGAGCCTGGGAGTTCTTGTACTACTTTAGACATGAAAGCCGGCCAGGTGCTTTGGGGCCCATCACCAGGAGGCTGAGAGTTCTAGTCTCACTTTAGACATGAAAGCTGGCTGGGTGGCGGCCTTGGACCTATCACCAGGAGCCTGGGAGTTCTAGACCACTTTAGACATGACAGCTGGCTGGGTGACCTTGGACCTATCACCAGGAGCCTGGGAGTTCTAGTCCCACCTTAGCCATGACAGCCGGCTGGGTGACCTTGGAGCTGTCACCAGGAGCCTGGGAGTTCTAGTGCCACCTTAGCCATGAAAGCCTTCTGGGTGGCCTTGGACCTATCACCAGGAGCCGGGGATTTCTAGTAACACTTTAGGCATGAAAGCCAGCCAGGTGCTTTGGGGGCCCATCACCAGGAGGCTGAGAGTTCTAGTCTCGCCACAGTCATGAAAACTGGCTGGGTGACTTTGGGCCAGTTCCTCTCTTTGACCTCCCGCTCATCTCACAGAGCTGCTGCTGCTGCTACGGGGTAAATAGGAGAGTGGAGAAGTAGTATGCATATTTATCTCGTTATTTATAACAATAATAAAGGTGGGTTTAAAAAAAATCTAAAGAAACCCCCATGTAGTCATACCACAGAGAAAATTTGCATTTATCCATTTCATCTCTCTTGGTGGAGTTATTGATCAAACAGTCTTTTTTTTTTCTTCTTCTTCGTTTCGTTTTTCGAAAGATCCCGGCATTGTGAGCAGGGGTTCCCACCTCAAAGATGCTCAGGAAGGGTCTTTCATGATTCTCTCCATGTATTCAATATTATTTCCAAGATTTAAAAAAAAAAAAAATCCCATGCATCGTTTGCCAAATCGCCCCAAGTTTTAAAAAGAGCACCGTGGAGAAAAAAGGCATTTTCTTGTGGCCTCGGCTTTCTTCCCTTTTGTCAGGCTTGAAAGAAACAGCAGCCCAGGGTATCATCTTGTTTCGTTTTTGTCTCGTCTTCCTTCTAAGGGCCAGAATTTGGAGCGGAGAAAAACTGCATTTACATTGGAATGGTCAACGAGGATCTCGATGTCTCTGAATTGGTGGAAACAATTGCAGCTTCCGGTCGCGAAATAGAAGAAAATTCAAGGGTGCGTACAGAAGAACCCTGGGGTTTTGCAACCCAGATGGGCCATCGTGCAAATTAGCACGCTGTGTGCTTTGAGATGAAAAGGGTTGAAAAACCACAGCTGCGTTCACACGCACAACACTTGAGACAGGCTAAAATGGGGGCTGGTGGTTTGGATTTTTAGCAGGTGATGGAAAAACTCACCCTGGACTTCACCTGATGCATGAAGCAGGTCATTTTATTTTGATATGATATCTTTGCTGAACCATATATTATTCTGTTCAAATTCTAATTCTAATTTTATCCTGTTTTCTGTCCTATCGATTCTATTCCATTCCATTCCATTCTCTATTCTATTCTATTCCATTCCATTCCATTCCCCTATTCTTTTCTATTCTTTTCTATTCTTTTCTATTCTATTCTATTCTATTCTATTCTATTCTATTCTATTCCATCTTCTATTCTTTCCTATTCTATTCTATGCTATTCTATTCCATTCC